AGCCAACAGAAAATACTGTGTTTTCTGGTGATCTTTGGCAACGCTTTTGACACCCCCTCACAACCCCCCCCCCCCATTCTTAAGGCCATCCAGTCCATCTCCCTCCACCAGGGCAAGAAAATCTAATCAAAGCCCTCCTGACAAAGAGCCATTCACCCATAGATAGAGATAGATATATATATGATTCACACACACACAGATATAATATCATAGATGTGAAAGGGACCCCTAAAGAAGGACAATAATATGTTGCATGTTCCAGGGTGGGCAAACCAGACACTCTCCACATCAACACTGACAAAGAAACAACAAGAAATACTGTTTACCCACAAGCATCAATTACATAGATTAGAAACCATTACTTTATTTTCCAGATGACCAGACTGGGCCACAGCGATGCATGGCAGGGGACGGCTAATAATAATAATAATAATAATAATAATAATAATAATAATAATGGAGCTCCTGGTGGCGCAGTGGGTTAAACCCCTGTGCCTGCAGGATTGAAGATCGACAGGTTGCAGGTTCGAATCTGGGAAGAGCGCGGATGAGCTCCCTCTATCAGCTCCATAGGTGACTGTGGAGCCCTATTCTTGATCCGCATCTTCTCCCGCAGTGAGGGAATCGGTTTCCAGGTGGAAGGCGGTCCCGATCGGGGTTGGCCTGACGCACCTTCCTCTTGGCATGTTTCTCTCTTTCGTCCTCCATTTGTGCCTTTTCAAATTCTGCAGCACTGCTGGTCACAGCTGACCTCCTGCTGGAGCGCTCAAGGGCCAGGGCTTCCCAGTTCTCAGTGTCTATGTCAGAGTTTTTAAGGTTGGCTTTGAGCCCATCTTTAAATCTCTTTTCCTGTCCTCCAACATTCCGTTTTTCGTTCTTAAGTTCGGAGTAGAGCAACTGCTTTGGGAGACGGTGGTCAGGCATCCGGACAATGTGGCTGGTCCAGCGGAGTTGATGGCAGAGGACCATCGCTTCAATGCTGGTGGTCTTTGCTTCTTCCAGCACGCTGATGTCTTTCCACTTGTCTTCCTGAGATTTGCAGGATTTTCCGGAGGCAACGCTGATGGAATCTTTCCAGGAGTTGCATGTGATGTCTGTAGACAGTCCACGTTTCGCAGGCATAGAGCAGGGTTGGGAGGACAATGGCTTTCTAAACAAGCCCCTTGGTCTCCCAACTCTCTGCTTTATTCGGAAAAATGCTGCACTCGCAGAGCTCGGGCGGTATTGTATTTCGGAGTCAATGTTGACTTTGGTGGAGAGGTGGCTTCCAAGGGAGCAGAAATGGTCCACATTTTCTAATGTTTTTATGATAGAACTAATTTTAAAAATGACATTTATAACACAGGAACAAAAAAAGTGTTACATAGTTTATTCACAGTTGTGTAAAAACTTGCTGCACATCCTTCCTAACTTTCCAGACATTGAGTGCACTTCGTATATAGGAAGGACTAATGCCTGAACATTACACCTCTTTGTGAATATCTGCTGGCGTCAGAGGTTGGAAAAGGTGTGCCAGGTTTTTTTTAATGTACAATGGGATGCAAGCTCAGCTGAACTTACTTAGCAGAAGCCTGCAATAAATACACAATAAATAAAATGACCCATGGATAAGTCGGCACAGATTTTGGAGAGTCGAGTTTTTGATTAATCTTTCTAAACCAGTGGTTCTCAACCTTCTGAATGCCGTGAGCCTTAATACAGTTCCTCATGTTGTGGTGATCCCCAACCATAAAATTACTTTCGTTGGTACTTCATAACTGTAATTCTGCTACTGTTATGAATCGTAGTATGAATATCTGGTATGCAGGATTTATTTTCATTTTTGAATCCTGCTCCTGTCCTCTGGAGTATTGGCTATCCCATTGCAGATGACAATTTGGTGTCATCTGCAAACTTGATGATTCTGCCTTCTAGTCCTTCATCTAAGTCATTAATAAAGATGTTGAACAGGACCGGGTCCAGGACGGAACCCTGCGGATGCCACTCCGCTCGTCACTTCTTTCCAGGATGAAGAGGAAGCCTTGGGGAGAATCACCCTCTGGGTTCGTCCATTTAACCAATTACAGATCCACCTCACCGTAGTTTTGCCTCGCCCACATTGGACTAGTTTCCTTGCCAGAAGGTTGTGGGGGACCCTGTCGAAGAAGGCCTTCCTGAAATCCAGGTACGCTACATCCACGGCATTCCCCGCATCTACCCAGCTTGTAACTCTATTGAAAAAAGAGATCAGATTAGTCTGGCATGACTTGTTTTTGATAAATCCAGATTGACTATTAGTGATGACCGCATTTGTTTCTAAGTGTTTCGCCTAAGTAAGTATAAATCCCAGCAACTACGCTTCCCAAATGTCAAGCTCTATTTTCCCCAAACTCCACCAGTGATCACATTTGGGCATATTGTGTATTCATGCCAAGTTTGGTCCAGATCCATCATGGTTTGAGTCCACGGTTCTCTCTGGATGTAGGTGAACTACAACTCCAAAACTCAAGGTCTATGCCCACCAAACCTACAATCAAAGAGCATTCTGAACCCCACCAACAATAGAATTGGGCCAAACTTCCCACATAGAACCCCCATAACCAAAAGAAAATAATGTGTTTTCTGATGGATTTTGGTGACCCCTCTGATATCCCCCTCACGAGGTGTAGATGCACCCTGAGACACACCACATCGTCACTTTGTTGCTCAACTTTGATGCGCCAAGGCTGTTCCTTTAAGGCTTCCTGTAGCCATGACTAAGGCTCCAGTTCCCACAAGCAAAGTTCCAAGAGAAGGGACAGAAAACCCCACCCGAGTTTCTCTGGTGTAGGAAGCAGTCGGTTGCATCCGTCACAATTTGTCCAAATGCCAAAACCTCGCACAACCTTTCTGTGTCTTGTTCCATGTCCACTCACCTGCCTGTTTCTGTTTGAGGATTTATCTCAACCCTGGCCTTGTGTGAATTTCCAGGGTTTCTTTGCTCACCATTTCTGTATTGCAAAATTATGGGAGGCGGACAGGAAGCCCACCCTTGAAGGAGCAGAATGCGCGGAAGTGAAGGCCCAGGCAAGAGCTGGGAGAGCACAAACGTCGGACAAAAGGCTTGTATTGTGGCACGAACACCCACACGCTGAATACAAACAGGACTGGATCTAGCACTGAGAAAACTTTGGTCCTCTAGGTGTTTTGGACTTCAACTCCCACAATTCCTAAAAGCCCCAGACCCTTTTTGCTTAAGCGACTGAGGGGGGAAACCCCCTCCCAGCTATCCCACCCGCCCTGCTCTGGCCCGCCATGCGGTCCCCAAGTTAGAAACTTTGCCCATGCCTGCCCTATACCCTGATCAGCCTTAGGACTGACCAGGAAGACCTCCCTCATTGTCCAAGTAGGATAGTCTTTCAGGATCAGTCCATAGGTGACTGTGGAGCCGTATTCTTGATCTGCATCTTCTCCCACAGTGAGGGCATTGGTTTCCAGGTGGAAGGCAGTCTCGGTCGATGTTGGCTTGACGCACCTTCCTCTTGGCATGTTTCTCTCTTTCATGTTTCTCTCTTTCACCACTCTCTTTTCACCCTCTGACCTACAAGAAGCACTGCCTGAACATCAAACAAAAAGTGGGTGCTAGAAACAATATCATACGAAAGCCAGGGGCAGCTCATCCATTACGCGAAGTAAGCGGTCGCAGAACACTTTTTTTTGCCAGGGGCGCAGAGGCGCCTCTGTAAATGCCCCTCGACTGCCACTTGAGGAGCGCCCCCTCAGCTCACAACAGCCCTAGCAGTCCGGGGGGAGCCTCGGCTTTCTTGCCTCGCTGCCGGGCGATCCTCTTCCCAAAGGGGCCGGGCCCTTGAGCCTCGCCTAGCCCCTCTCGTTCCTGCTCCACCCGGCCACCGGGTGCGCGAGCAGAGCCGGCGCTCAATCGTTCTCCATGTTCGATCCCTTCCCTTTCCCGATCCCCCGGCGCTCCACCCGCCTCCTCTCCTCTCCCCAATCTGCGGGTGGGCTAAGGGGCGGAGCCACCGCGCCTGGCCCGCTTCGGGTCCGGAGGCGTGTCTGAAGACCCCAGCGTGCGTACCAAAAGTCACCTCTTCTCCTGACTTTCTCTTCAGCCATTGGGACCAAGAGAGAGAGAGAGAGAGAGAGAGAGAGCACCTCTCCGGCTGGAGGTATCTCCCAACTCCGCTCCCTCCTTTGTTTTTGCGCCTACCTTCAGGAAAGGTGGGCATCTCCACCTCTCTCTCTCTCTCTCTCTTGGTCCCAATGGCTGAGGAGAAAGTCAGGAGAAGAGGTGACTTTTGGTGCACACGCCGGGGTCTTCAAGCACCCTCCAGACCCAAAGCAGGCCAGGCAAGGGAGCAAGTGCGGCAAGTGTAGTTACTGGGATGTATAGTTCACCTACAATCAAAGAGCATTCTGAACTCCACTAATGATGGAATTGAACCAAATATGGCACACAGAACTCCCACGAGAACAGAAAATATATATCAATGATTGGGGGGGGGGGGGCAAATACTGTTTGCTTACTGTGAAAATTACCTAGGGCCGCCTCTGGTGGAGGACAATAGCTCTATAAACAAGCACCTTGGTATCCCTAGGGATGTCCCGGTCCTCAAACACTCTCTGCTTCATTCGGAAAAAATGCTGCGCTTGCAGAGCTCAGGCGGGTCACCTACAGACCCACCAGTACACTGATCTTGGACAATGAGGGGTCGCCTAAGTAAGTAAGTAAGTAAGTAAGTAAGTAAGTAAATCCTTTTCTTCTTGGAACACCTGCTGCTACCTGATCCAGATCTGTGCGCCAAACCTGATCCTGTGCATAAATGTGCGCTCCAAAAAAGGGGGGGAAAGAGCAGCAGTTCTCATCCTTGGAGGGACCAATTTATGGAAGAGCCTTCCTTCCTTCCTTTGCTGACATTCCCTGCTGCTGACATTCCTCCTTCTTCTCTTTCCTTCCCTATCCCTGTAAAGAATTCCAAACTAAAGATCCCAGCAAAACAAAAAAGGGAGGAGGAGAGAAAGAGAGAGAAAGGGAGAGAGGGAGAGTTAGGAGGGGAGAGTCCAGCCCTGGACCACCACATGCCAACTTTGCAAAGAGATGAGCTGTCTCCTCATCCCTTGCCAGTGGATGCTGGGCCTCTCTCCTCTTTTCCTGGGGACGGAAAGGCGTCTGCTTGGGGGCCTCCAAAGTGCCATCCTAAGCGACATCCTTTTCCTTGGCAACTCCCTTTTCCTGCGCCTCCCAAGGCCAAGACAAGCAGCAGAAGGAGCAGCCCAGGCTCAGACTCCGCTTCCCAGCTGAGGCAGGCGCAACCTAGTTGCTGCAAACTTTTTCCCCCCTCCAAATATATATATATTATTATTATTTTGGAGCAACTCCAAGGAGGGCAACATTTGCATCAAAGGAGGAAACAGAAGAAGGGGGAAAGTGTCTTTGGCAAGGCAGAAGAAGGGAGTGAGAAAAGGAGAGGAGGGAGGACATCCTTTGGGATCCCCTTCCTTTCTTCCTTCCCTCTCTCCATCCAGAAGCACCTCAGGGTGGCTTCCTTTGGGAAGACTACTTCTTCCTCTTCTTCCCTTTGAAGTTGAATATGATCCCCAAACTCTGGGCTCCTCTGACCGCCTTCCTCCTCCTGCAGGGATTGCTGCAGCTCCAAGGTAAGAGCATTATGATTACTACTACTATTACTACTACTAATGCTACTATTACCTGGAAGGAAGTTGGTTTGCATCCACTGCGTTGCTGCTGCACAGTTTTTGGTGAAGGCATTGCTTTTTCTCCTTTCTCCCATTCCTTCTGTTATCCCTTCTTCTTGCTCTTCCTGCTCCTCTTCCTCTTTTTTCTCTTCCCTTTCCTCCTCCTCTTCTTCTCTTCCTCTTCAATTCCCTCCTTCTCTTCTTCCTCCACTTCTCCTTTCCCTTCTTCTCCTTTTCTTCCTCCTCCTTCTCTTCCTCTTCAATTCTCTCCTCTTCTTTCTCCACTTCTTCTCTTTTTCCTTTGCCTCCTCATTTTCTTCCTTCTTCTCTTCCTCCTCTTCAATTACCTCCTTCTCTTCTTTCTCCACTTCTTCTCTTTTCCCTTCTCCTCCTTTTCTTTCTCCTCCTCCTCCTCCTTCTCTTCCTCCTCTTCAGTTCCCTCCTTCTCTCCTTTCTCCACTTCTTCTCTTTTTCCTTTGCCTCCTCCTTTCCTTCCTTCTCTTCCTCCTCTTCAATTCCTTCCTTCTCTTCTTTCTCCACTTCTTCTCTTTACCCTTCTTCTCCTTTTCTTCTTTCCTCTTTCTTCTTCTTCTTCTTCTTCAATTCCCCCTTCTCTTCTTTCTCCACTTCTTCTTTTTCCTTTCTCCTCCTCCTTTTCTTCCGTCTTCTTCTCTTCCTCCTCTTCAGTTCCCTCCTTCTCTTCTTTCTCCACTTCTTCTCTTTTCCCTTCTTCTCCTTTTCTTCTTTCTTCCTCCTCCTCCTCTTCTTCTTCTCTTCCTCTTCAATTCCCCCTTCTCTTCTTTCTCCACTTCTTCTTTTTCCCCTCCTCCTCCTCCTTTTCTTCCGTCTTCTTCTCTTCCTCCTCTTCAATTCCCTCCTCCCCTTCTTTCTCCATTTCTCTTTTTCTTCTCTTCCACCTCATTTATTCGCTTTTCCTTTTCTTTTTCCAATTCTTCTCTTTCTCCCTTCCTTCCTTCTTCCCCTCTTTCTCTTCAATTATTTCCTCTTCTTTCTTCACTTCTTTTTTCTCCTCTTCCTCACCTTCCAACCCCCTTTCCGCCTCCTCCTCCTCCTTCTTATTCTTCTCTTCTTCCTCCTCTTTTATTTCCCCCTCTTCTTTCTCCACTTCGTCTCTTCTTTCTCTTTCCTCCCCTTCTTCACCTTCCTATCCTTTTTCCTCCTCTTTCCCTCTTTTCTTCCTTCTTCTCCTCTTCCTCCTCTTCAATTCCATCCTCCTCTTCTTTCTCCACTTCTTCTCTTTTTCCATCTCGTTTTCTTCCTTCTTCTTCTTCTTCTTCTCTTCTTTTATTCCCCCCTTCTCTTTCTCCACTTCTTTTTCTCTTCTTTCTTGTCTTCCTACCCCACTTTCCTCCTCTTTCTTCCTTTCTTCTCTTTTTCCATCTCCTCCTTTTCTTCCTTCTTCTTTTCTTCTTCTTTTATTCCCTCCTTCTCTTTCTCCAATTCTCTTTTTCTCTTCTTTCTTGTCTTCCTACCCCACTTTCCTCCTATTTCTTCCTTTTCTTCCTTTTTCTTCTTCTCCTCTTCCTCCTCATTTATTCCCTCTTCCTCTTTTTTCTCCACTTTTTCTCTTTTTCCTCCTCCTCTTCCGTCCTTTCTTTTCTCCCTTATCTTTTATTCCCTCTTCCTCTTTTTTCTCAACTTCTTCTCTTTCTCTTCTTTCTTTTTCTTCCTTCTTCTCATCTTTCTCCACTTTTCTTTTTTCCTTTTTCCACTTCTCTTCCTCTTCTTTTATTCCCTCCTCTTTTTTCTCCAACTCTTCTCTTCCTCAATTTCCTACTCACTTTCCTCCTCTTTCTTCCTTGTCTTCTTCTTCTTCTCTTCCTCTTCATTTCACCTCTTCTTTCTCCACTTCCTTTTCTTTCTCCTCCTTTCCTCCTTTCCTTCACCTTCCTACCTTTTCCCCTCCTGTTTTTTCTTTTTCTTCCTCCTCCTCCTTCCTCTTCAGTTCCCTCCTTTTCTTTCTCCACTTCTCTTTTCTCCTCCTTTCCTCCCCCTTCCTTCTCTTTCTCCTTCTCTTCTTCCTCTTTCTTGTTCTTCCCTTTCTCTTTTCCTCCTTCCTGTTCTTATTCGTCCTCTGTCCTTTTTTTTGCCTCTCTGTGTTGGCAGGGCTAGAAGAAATGGATAAATATAAAGGGTAGAGTGTGTTTCCATGTTTCCAATGAGGCAGAAGGTGCACATTGAGATCAGTTCACTGGAAAATGCCACAATTCATTGCATGCAATCAACTTTTTATCCATTTGCAAGTGAATGTTTGGAGAGAATTGTCTCATTTTGGAATAGAGGCAACTTGGTTGAAATAGGGTGCTGGTCTAGTTGGCTCTTGTCTTGATCCAATCAGACTTGATGACCTTCTTTTTCCAATATTTTATGCAGTACTTGCTAAATCCACCCATGCTTTGCTATGGCTCAGCCTGATATGAAATGAATGAGATAGTAAATAAAAGTATTGTTGAGAACATAGATTCACCGAGGGAACACACCATTCAATTCAATTCAGTTCCCTGCCTTGTGTTGCTGTGTCTTTGTGGAATGAACCAGAAATTATTTTGTATTGTAAAGCTAGTGGATTGACTACATTTTTGTTTTGTCCATTTTCTGCATGAACCTAAAGATATGACGGTTTACCGACTCTGGAGCATGCAACGTATAAGTGCCCATGAGAGAAGCAATTGTTTCCTACATTCAAACTGCACACTTGCAAAGGTTGTCCCTGCACTTTGTTGGTAGTCATAGTGAACACAAGGTGTATTGGAAATTGAAGTCGTTGAGGAAGGCATTGTTTGTTTTTGGATGTTTGGAAATATAACTTAGGAAATCTGTACCACTATTTATTAGAAAAACGCCAGTCTAGATGGTCATCACGGGCCTGTGTGCCAAAAGTGGTCCAAGTCCATCATTCATGGGGGCCATAGTGGTGATTTGAATTTGGATCCAAAGCAGGTAAAAGTACTGCGTTTCCCATCATGCATGGTCCATCCTCCGCCGAAGTGCACCAGAACCTGAAGTGCACCATGTGGGGTCTGTGTGCCAAGTTTGGTCCAGGTCCGTCATGCATGGGGGTCGCAGTGGTCTCTGGAAGTGAGTGAAGGTAGTGCGTATCCCATTATCCATGGTTCATCCTCCATTGAAGTACACCAGGACCTGAAGTGCACCATGTAGGGTCTGTGTGCCAAGTTTGGTCCAGGTCCGTCATGCATGGGGGTCGCAGTGGTCTCTGGAAGTGAGTGAAGGTAGTGCGTATCCCATTATCCATGGTTCATCCTCCATTGAAGTACACCAGGACCTGAAGTGCACCATGTAGGGTCTGTGTGCCAAGTTTGGTCCAGGTCCGTCATGCATGGGGGCCGCAGTGGTCTCTGGAAGTGAGTGAAGGTAGTGCGTATCCCATTATCCATGGTTCATCCTCCATTGAAGTACACCAGGACCTGAAGTGCACCATGTAGGGTCTGTGTGCACAGTTTGGTTCAGATCCGTCGTGCATGGGGGTTGCAGTGGTCTCTGGAAGTGGGAGTGAAGGTAGTGCGTATCCCATCATCCATGGTCCATCCTCCATTGAAGTACACCAGGACCTGAAGTGCACCATGTAGGGTCTGTGTGCCAAGTTTGGTCCAGCTCCGTCATGCATGGGTCCCAGTGGTCTCTGGAAGTGAGTGAAGGTAGTGCGTATCCCATCATCCATGGTCCATCCTCCATTGAAGTAAACCAGGACCTGAAGTGCACCATGTAGGGTCTGTGTGCCCAGTTTGGTCCAGGTCCATTGTGCATGGGCGTTGCAGTGATCTCTGGAAGTGAGTGAAGGTAGTGCATATCCCATCATCCATGGTTCATCATTGAAGTACACCAGGACCTGAAGTGCACCATGTGGGGTCTGTGTGCACAGTTTGGTTCAGGTCCGTCATACATGGGGGTCCCAGTGGTCTCTGGAAGTGAGTGAAGGTAGTGCGTATCCCATCATCCATGGTCCATCCTCCATTGAAGTACACCAGGACCTGAAGTGCACCATGTAGGGTCTGTGTGCCAAGTTTGGTCCAGCTCCGTCATGCATGGGGGTTGCAGTGATCTCTGGAAGTGAGTGAAGGTAGTGCGTATCCCATCATCCATGGTCCATCCTCCATTGAAGTAAACCAGGACCTGAAGTGCACCATGTAGGGTCTGTGTGCCAAGTTTGGTCCAGCTCTGTCATGCATGGGGATCGCAGCGGACTCTAGAAGTCAGTGAACGTTCTGCAAATTCATGGTCTGCCCATAGCGAACACAAGGCGTATTGGAAATTGTAGTCATTGAGAAAGGCATTGTTTGTTTTGGATTCTTCGTAATATAACTTAGGAAATCTGTACCGCTATTTATTAGAAATACACCAGTCTAGATGGTCATGGGGGGGCCTGCGTGCCAAATGTGGTCCAGGTCTGTCATTCGTGGGGGTCATAGTGGTCATTTGAATTTGGATCCAAAGAAGGTGAAAGTACTGCATATCCCATCATCCATGGTTCATCTTCTGCTGAACTGCAGCATGGGGGGGGGGGGGGTCTGTGTGCCAAGTTTGGTCCAGATCCGTCGTGCATGAGGGTCGCAGTTGTGAGTTAAGGTTTTGCAAATCCCATCATCTGTCCATAGCAAACACAAGGTGTATTGGAAATTGAAGTCATTGAGAAAGGCATTCTTTGTTTTTGGATGCTTGGTAATATAACTTAGGAAATCTGTACTGCTATTTATTAGAAAAATGCCAGTCTAATAATAATAATAATAATAATAATAATAATAATAATGATAATAATCTTTATTTATACCCCACCACCATCTCCCCCAACGGGGACTCGGGGCAGCTTATGTGAGGCCAAGTCCAAACAACAAGTTAAATCATAGAATCATAGAATCAAAGAGTTGGAAGAGACCTCCTGGGCCATCCAGTCCATCCCCATTCTGCCAAGAAGCAGGAATATT